GTTTCAAAGACAACAAATTCAATGCATAAGAGATTCTCACTTCTCATAACCATAATGTTCAGTTAAATTTTGCCAAAATGAATTTGGACATATACATTTGTAACATTAAACACATCCTTTATTCAAGAATTCCCACAAAATATGTTTTCTTGTTTCACATTTAATTCTTATTAAAACACTTATTAATAATAGTGTAACATAAAATCTCAAGACATAGGTTTTTTGAATTTAATTATTATTTCATGTGTTCCGTAATCTTATATATTATATTCTGATGCTTTTGTATACTGGGTGTCAATTTTGGTTGTACGAAACATGTAGATTGGAAGGTTTAGTAAAAAAAGAATTGAATAATTTATATTATAATATATTTGAAAACTTAATAACTTTTACTAGTGCGCAGTTCGTGCGTTGCACGAGAAATAATATTAAATAATAATAATTATAAGTAGGTCTCGAGTTTGAGTCACCCAATAGAAGAAGTGAGAACTACTATAAATCTTCTTTAAAAAGAGGAAGAAAAAAGAATAATTATAAATTAAAGATGAAGGTAAACAATATAAAATAAAAATTATAAATTAAAGATGTGGGGTTAAACAGTGTAAATTATCCTGTATAAAAGAAAATCAATTTTTTATATTTAATATAATAAGTACACCTAAAATATTATATTGATTTATGTATAAGTATCCAAAATGTTCTATATTATTTTTGAAAGATGTGAAGTCACCTAACTTTTTTAAACTAGTTTAGAAAGAAAACATGTTATGCGATGGAATTTTGTAAGCTTACAATGGGTTTTTTTAAATTTATCGATTTATGCCTAAAGATATAATTTAAATTTAACAAAAGCGTATGGAATAATTTGATTTAGTGGACCAAGATTAGCGGATATGGTTAGATTTGTTATGAATTCAAGTTCAACAAATTGTATGGGATGTCCGATTTTTTGGGCAAGAAATTAAAAAGAAATTTGAAAAAACTACCGAAAATAGAATGCATTAAATGGTTCTTGACTTTTTCTTGTTACTATTTTTGGTAAATAGGTATATATATATATATATATAGAGAGAGAGAAAGAAAGGATTATATGAGAATGGGTGGTAGTGAAAGAAATAAGAATGGTTGTAAACCATTAGATTCAACATATTAAAGGTCATGATGAAGTCAAAATTAGTAATTATAGTCAAACTCATTAAAGACAATTTGGTCATTTAACACTAATTAAGGATAATTTAGTCATTTTAAATAGTACATGTGGATCCAACCCATCACAACTCATCACTCTCACCACATAAACACGTTCACACACCGGCCCACCCTCTCTCTCACACGTTTACACCCACTCACCCTCTCTATCTCACACATATACACACACCATCACTGTTGCAGGCACACACGAAAAAAGATAAAAATCAATCTGGCCAAAACAGCAACACCAGATCCGCCGGCGCCACCGTCTGCCACGGAGACGGCCCACCCCGGCAACACCGCCGCTGTTGTAAGCCATGGCCACCGGAGACGTCCGCCGCCAACAACCGTCCAAGCGACACGCCGGCATCCAGTCGCAATTTAGGCCAAAACTCCCACCACAAGCTCGCCGTGCCGCCGTCCGCCACATAGATGGCCACACTCAGAAACACCGCAGTTGTCGTCCGTCGCGGCCACTAGAGACGTCCGCCATTAACCACCACCACCCCAAGCTTCACGCTGTCATCTCATCATAACCACCAAAACGCTGCCGGAAAAGATGGATGGTTCCGTCGCCGTCAACACCCGCACAGATTCTGCCATAGCCCGCCGCCCGCCGCCACTCTCAGCATGCTCCATCTTGATGTTGAGTTTCGAGTGTTCTCTGCCATGTCCGAAGAGAGGATGTTCTCCGGCGACTGTTTTCCGGCGGATTTTACAGGTCCGAAATGAAGGTGCAGACAGTGATGGTTGCTGGTGGAAGAGAGATGGATGAAGACTATTTTCAATTTGGGCATCATTTTGAGAATTTGACATATTCAAAGGATTTAATTGCACTTTTTTTAAATGTTATTAAATTTCAATTTGACCCATAGGTCAAATCTGTAATTTATAAAGAAGTATACCAAATGTACATTAATGATATATAAAAAAACTTAAAAATATAGTGTAATAAATGAATAATACATTCGAGACTTTAAAATTAAAAAACATATAATCGAATTAAAATATAAAATTTCGAACTAAAAGTTTTAGTTTGGTCGATTCGGTCATTTTTAAAATTTGTACCAAAACTATAAAATTCTAACCAACAATTTAGTTCGGTCAATTTTCGATCGAAATAGTGCAATGTGATAGTCACTAATGTGCAATCTGTCTAAAATTAATGTGCACTAAAAGTGCAAATATTATTTAATGTTTTGTCCAAGCCTAAACCAAAACCAAAATAATTAGATTATTTGTCCGGTTAACCGAATTAATCTAAATAATCAAAATAATTAACAATTTATATTTGTAATATAAATTGTAAATTATTTTAATTTATCGTGTTGTGATAAAGTGCATCGTGTTGTTTTATAAATTGCAAGATGTCGTTTTATAAAGTGCAACGTATTAATATATAAAGTGCACTGCTTATAATTGTAGTGAATTAATCCGTTTATCAAACTAGTTACCCTATTTACCTTAAATCCCGTAAATGGTTTGTGGTTTATTATAAAAATATATTCATAAGTTAATATTTTTTTTGTCGTTGTTTTCGACTTAATATAATAATATATTTAAAGAAAAATATATAAAAAATTAATAGTATTTTTTTATATAGTCCGGTTGATGTGTTATTTCATTTTATTTACATTGTAAAGTCGAAATCAAATTAACCAAAAATTCAATGTAAATACATATTTGAACTTTATTATACAACTTTGAACGGAATAATTTTGTTAGTTTTGTTTCGGTTGCCATATGGTGCAGTCCGCCAGTCATTGATGTGCAATGTGTCAGTCATTAATATGCATTTCTTGATACACTCACATCGCATATATATTTAATGTGAACATAAACAATACATTGTAAATTTATTATCATTAACCCATATTTATTAAATGTTCTATAAATCACATATTTAGAACATGTACCATATTTAAATGTACTCAAATTTTATCAAATTGCAATCAACCCCATTGGGATTGTCTAATTTTTTAAATCATGCCCTATTTTTCAAATGGGAAAATCGTCTTCATCCTCCCCAACACTCCACCGGCGCCATTCAACCATCTCCGGCCGAGACATCTGACGTCGACGTGATCAGCAGTCTCAGTCGTTCCTCCCGGTGCTTCTCCCACCCCGACCTGATCTCCGGCGCCTACTTCCAGCGAGGTGGGTGAAATAGGCCGCCTATGTAGAGGACGGAAATTGAAGGCGATGGAGCTCCGGGAAATGGACCAGCGGAGGCGACGTGTGCGCGTGACTGAGAGCTCCGACGACCGATGCAAAGATCCCGACGCCGACCGGTTGTCGGATTTTGTCCGAGATTTTTAATTGAGGTGGATGGCAGAGAATCAGAGATTCGGCACGTACGGCGGCGCGGCGACCTAGCAGAGGTGCGGCGACGCCTGAGCGTCGGTCAGCCGTGACGCCGCCGGGAATTAGGCGGCCGGTGATGGGACTGTTCTTCTTCTGCGTGTGGTTATATTTGTGTGTGTATATATGTTGACCGATTTATGTGTGTGTGTGTGTGTGTGTGTGTGTGTGTGTGTCTGTACGTGAGAGAGAGAGGTGTGTGAGAGGTGTGATGTGTTTTAGCCACGTGGCATGAAATAATTGGACCTGTGTAATTTTTAGTTGGCACAAATTAATTAGTAAAATGATAAAATGTCTAAAGTACCTTCAATGAATAAATAAATGCTAAATTTTTTAGCCATTAGATCATCCGATCTAATGGTCACGATGTATTCTTATTTCTCGCATTAAGCATCATTCTCACCGGAGCGTGACCCTATATATATATATATATATATGTCTTTTATTTATGAAATCAAATATTGATATTTTTAACGATATTAAATTTTACATTTATATTAACTAGTATTAGCATAACATCTATGTTTTACATGATATTCAATAAGAAAATTATGCTTATAAATAAAAAATAATTGTTTTATTTTAATATTTCAAATACTTATAAAAATTGTATTTTATTTTTTATTCAAAATAATACTAATCACATGCAAGTTTCGATATAATAAGCTTACAAATAAATTTATTTAATTAATAGATAATAATTTATTATTTTTCAATGAAGAATTAATAGATAAAGTGTGTTATAATTGTAAAATTCTGACTCGATAAAAGTCAAATCTACATGAATTATATTGGAACACCAGAATTTGAAAAGCAGGATTACAAAATACTAGTATTCGATCCTGTGAATTTGCACAGATATAAAGTACGTTTTTGTTTGTATTATTAATTAGACATGTACTTCTATTATATAAAAATTATTACTTTTTCTTAAGTTATTTTTATTAGTCAAAATTAATTGAGATTTAAATTTTATTTTAACCATGCAATATTTACATTAGTAACATGAATAAAATAATTTATATGTTTTTGGCATATATTAAGAAAATTAACATAAATAAAAAAATTACTGGTGTTTCTGATTTTTAGAAAAAAAAAAATATGTGTCAATCATATTTTTTTTCTTCCAGCAACAGCTCTGAATGTGCCAATCAACTTTAAGTTCCACCATTATCCGTTACACATCTTAATATTTTGCTACCAAATTTAAAATTAATTTAGTAACCGATCAAAAAAATAAATAATAAAAATATATATATTAAGGTGTAACGATTTTAGCAGATTAATGAGTAATTAATTAAAAATATATAACTCCTTTTGGAGAGAAATGAAAATATATTTTATTAAATGCATCAGCCAGTAATTATATATATAGATAAGAAATTGACATATAGAATAATCCATATAATATAATGCACCAAAAATTGATAATCCATATTTTTGTTCTTTTAAGTAAAAGTTGTAACTGCTCATTTATCAATCATTTTTTTATGGTATGGAACTTCGTG